CTCACTTTATCTGTAGGAATGAACACACACACACAAAAAAAAAAGACACAGAGGAGCACCAATTTGTGTCATCGTCATCATCATCAGCAATAACAACAACAATCAATAGATAATAAAGAAAAAAAATCAGATTATCAACAACCACAGAATTAATACACAGATCTATCTAACTAAGATAGTTATTTTTTCATGTGTGTACACACACACACATATATATATATAAGAGAGAGAGAGAGAGAGAGGGAGAGAAAGAAAAAGAGAGAGAGCCAGATCTTGTCTTTTAGTCTAGATCTTGCTCACGATCTGGAGAAGGCGATAGAAATGGAGACGATCTGAGGCGATTTCAATGGTGATGGTAGATCTAGATTTCAAGAGAGAGAGAGAGAGAGAGAGAGAGAGAGAGAGAGAGAGAGAAACCTCAAACAAAGAATCAAGAGATGTTAGAGGGAGAAACTTCATAGTAAAGAAAGAAAGAATGAAAGAATTACGAGATGATATCTTCTCTACTTGAATGTGTAGTTCAGAAGGAAGTTCAGAAGGAAGAAGAAGACTGATTTGATGCCTCTAGTTCCGTAACAACACCTCATGAATTGTATGGAGGAAAAAAAATTCTCCGATTGAGCAAGTAGCCTTTTGTATGTGGTTCGAAATTGTTCTACTCGCCGACGATCATACCTCGCTGGGAGTAACCTACCAAACATAGCCTAAACTATCCCTGCATATATATGTGTGTTATACGGTTAACAAAAAATCAAACATCTCTAGTCTCACACTTTTCACTCTTATTTTTCTCTCTTCATCTCCAAAACCATGACAATCCCAATACCACCGTGTCCGACACCACCGCCTCTGATCTCTCCTCTCATCTACTCTCTCTTTATCTTCGACACCAACACCATCACTACTACCACCATCACAACTCCACCGTCCTTCCTCCCACCACCATCGCCATCTCAATAGCTAACGATATTAGATCTGAAATCTGAAACCGATTTGCGATTTTCAATTTAGTCACCCCCCTGATTTCCAATCTCGGATCTGATCACCAATCTCAGATCTGATCATAGGCTAGGGTTTCGACAAAAAGAAAAAATAGGTTTTTTAGCCCAATAAGACAAAATGTCATATCTAAACCATAATCATTTCATTTTCTCTCTCACAAAAGTTTAAAAACCAAAAAAAAAACTATCCGAAACGAGACTTTTTAGCCTAAGTTAAAATTTCCAAAATGTCAAATGTCAAAAAGTCAATCTACATCCTAAACGAAGACTTAGGTTGCGTTTGGTAGAGTTTTCTAAATATGATTTGAGAATAGAGTTGTATTTTGAGTTTGTGAGTTTTGGAATTATGATTTGAGTGTGGAAAATCTGTTTGGTGAATGAGTTTTGAAAAGAGTTTTGAATTAAGTGGAGAATTTTTGATGTGACATATGATATTCGATACAAAAACTTACAACTCGTAACCAAACACACAACTCAAAATTCTATTAAGACAAAAAAAATTTAAAAATTCGAAAAATATGTTTTATTGAATATATAAAAATTAACATGTGTCAATTAAAAAAAAATTTGCACTGTTCCGGTCAACCGGCCGAAAGACCGGTGGACGTCCTGTGGGATGACCAGTTAGCTCAAATTTTCCCGCCTTCGACCGCGTTTTCAAAAGTAAGCGTGGAATTAATTTTTAAAATTTTTAAACATATGCCCTGCTCAAATCAGCTTTGGAACTAACGTTCCAAATCCGTACCAAACACAACCTTAGTTATTTTCCAAGAGCTTGTCTTTATGGACAAAGTAGTTTAGATTGTGGACTTTTGGCCAAAGAAAATCTAAAATTGGATTTATGGACCAAGTGTCAAAAAAAAAAAAATAGGAAAAAGAAGAAGGAGAGATGAGAGATAAACAAAAACGAAAGGACAGACAGACGAGAGATGAGAGAAAGAGAGACGGATGACAGGTAGACTACTTTCCAAGTCGTTCAGTGATGTAGATCGATTGAGATGGAGATTGCGATGGAGATCGATTGAGGACTTCGCTTGATGAACATGTTCGTTTTTCTCTTCTCTCTTTCTTTTCTTCTGATTTTGGATTTCTTCTTCTCTTTCTTCTTCGTGCTGTGTCCCCTGCCATGTCCTGCTATGTCCCATACCAAAAAAAATGGGACACGCCAATCGGCGTGTCCAGCGCATGTCCGGCGTGTGTCCTTGTGTTCGATTTCGCTACGATGCCTATTTTGAAGTGTTCATACTTCATAGCATGCAAGACATATAATTTAATGTATTTATTATATTTTATATTTTTAAATATTTAATATTTATTTTACATCAAATATTTAATTTTATCAAATTTATCAGCCTTAGGTTTGTTATTTTAGTAAGAAAATTTTGAAAAAAAAATTGAAAAAAAAATAAAAAAATCGGTCCTCAACATATCTCCAGCATGTTTTCAGCGTGTACCAATGTGTCCCTAGCATGTCCCAAGTGTCCTAACATGTTCGACTCTTTCTAGCATGTCCAGCATGTGTCCAAAGCATGTCTGTGTCTGACACCTATACGTCACCTCCGGAGAAGTGTCCATGCTTGATAGAAAGAATCTAAAGATGGTGCTTCCATTTTTTAATGTTTTAAATTTCCATATTAATCAAATGGTGATGTGCTACAACCATTTTCTTAGAATTTCAGGAAGTTTTATCTTTTGGTCTTAAGTCAAATCATGATGTAATCCCATGGGATACCAATCCCATGGTTTCTATCCCACACCCCCCATGGGATAGAATAGGAGCAAAATTTTGCAAACAAACAATGGACTATTAGTCCAGTGGGACTAATAGTCCAATCCTACACCCTTATCCCTTAAAACAAACATGCTCTTAGAGTGTGTTTGTTTTGAAAGATTATTTCATAGGATTGGACTATTAGTCCATCCGGACTAATAATCTATTGTTTGGTTCAATTTTTTTGTTTCGGATTAATAGTCCCTCCGGACTATATTAGTCCCTCATATGAGGGATTATTGTATCCTAGGGGAGGGGGTGGGATTATTTCCATGGGATTGGTATCCCATAGGATTAATATGTGAAATGTTCATTTTACGCTCATGTTATTACTTAATAAACAATTGAAAAATGGTAAAATAGCCTTTTGAACATTTATAAATTATTTTTTTAGTGTTATTAATTTAAAAAATTATTTTTTTAGCATTGTTAATTTAAAATTATATATTAAATAAAAAATATAAATTATAAATTTAATTTGATTGAAAATTATAAATTATAAATTATGGCCTTATAAATTAAAAAATTTTAGTGTTGTTAAATTATAATTTATAAATTATAGATTACAAATTTAAAATTATATATTAAATAAAAATTATAAATTACAAGGGTAAAATAGTCTTTTGAACATTTATTCTTATCCAGTCCATCCAACCAAACATTGGATTCACTAAAAATAGTCTAATCCAGACATCTAATCCCATGACTAAACAAACATAGAATTCAAATCCAGTCCAACCAAATAATCCGGGGACAATGTATCCCAGGACTAATAGTCTGATGGATTACAATCCCCCCTTATCTAGTGCCTCCAAACAAAGTGTCTTCAGTAGCAGCTTGTGGATGTGTATCAATACCGGTAGGTTTCAAAAATTTTCCAGGCTCCGACCATGAGGGGACATTACAAAATCTAGATAGTCTCAGAGTACCGTGTGGTATTTGATTATGAGATACTCCTAATATATGAGGAACTACAAAATATACTAGATGAGTCATTCATTATCTCACACCCACCTAATAAAGGTGCATCAGTGTTGTCTCACCTATAAAGTTTTTCACTATGTTATTGATTGAGAATAATACATACACCCTATCACATAATATTCTGAAACTATTAACAATTCCGTTACAGGGCCCGGAAAGACCCAACGGCTCGAATGGCTCAAAATGGTTTCCCGCCGAAATTTTGATGCACGTGGAGCTCACGTGTTCTGCACAAAGTGATGAAGAAAAATGAAACAAAAAATAGAAATAAGAAAGGAGAGAAATGAGAGAGAGGGAGGTTGCGACCACAACGACGACCGACCTGGTGTTCACTGACGGGCGTCGCTGACCACCGTCCACCGCTGTTCGGAATCTCCATTTTGTATCTGTGCATGTAGGTAAGTAATTTGAGATGCATTTGTCACTTACTCATAAACAAAACGAACAGATGAACTGCAGGAACGAGATTGAACATCTCGTTATTGATTGAACATTGATCTTTGGTCAACATTTCGTTTCTGAGATGCATTTTTATTTTGCTAACATTGATCTATGGTCAATATTTCGTAAGACACAGATTGAACATCTCGTTATTAATCTGTGAATGTGAAAACAAAAATTTTGGTTGTTCTGGAAGCAAGCCCTCTGTTAAACATTTCCATGGTAGTGATGAATGCCAATTGTTTGATGAAAGTCCGCATACAGAAATTGCCCTGATTTTTTATGTGTTGGTTGATGAAAGTCCTGATGCTAATCTGTGTAATTAAAATCCTGAAAGTCGTGATTTTTTATGTGTTGGTTGAGAAATTATGTTTGAAACTAATTTTGTCATTTAGATCATCTCATTTATCCTGAGAGTCCTAATCATTTATCCAGACACAGATCAATAACTAATGTGTTGAATTATCCTGAAAGTCCTAATCATTAATTCATTTATCATTTATCCAGTCCTAATCATTAATTCATTTATCCTGAAAGTCCTAATCACTGTTCTTAATTTACCTAATCAACTCATCACTGAGATCATCTCAGGGTAAGAATTAATCTCAGTGTTGAATTAATCTCAGTGTGTTGAATTAATCAACTCATTACTCATTACTGAGATCAATGGGTTGAATTAATCTCAGTGTTGCTGAATTAATCTCAGTGTTGAATACATCTCAGTTGGAAAAATTGAAATGCACATACATGCACTTACACTTTTGTTTCTATTTGGTTTGAAGCTACACGAACTACGTGCTTCAATGGACATTGATTTAACCAATTCTTCATTGAATGGGAGTGAGGAAGTTAAAGAGGCGGAAAACAATCCGTCATTAAATGAGATTGGTGAAGTTGACGAACCTAAGAAGGGCATGTGTTTTAGCTCAAAGCAAGAAGTATATCCGTTTTATGCAAAATATGCGAAGCATCTCGGATTTGTTGTAGCTTATAGAACACAGAATATTGGACAAGATGGGGAAGTAAATTACTTTGGAATTGAATGTACTCGGGCACGCAAGAGAAAAAAATGATCAGAAGTACACCCTTTCGAACCATCTTTGTCATCATTCATTGAGTGTAAAGCAAAGGTTAGAGCAACTCTACAAAAGGATGGAAGATTTAAATTGACCACAGTTGTGCTTGAACATATGCATGACTTGATTCCTAGTGACTCACGACATTTTGCAATGAATAAGAGAATTCTTACCCCTGTGAAGAGAAGACTAGAAATAAACGATGAAGGAGGGATAGGGCTGGCTAGGAATTTTCATTCTATAGTTGTTGAAGCAGGGGTGTATGAGGCATTAACATTTGATGAACAAGATGCAAGGAATCACATTCAAAGTATGAGAAGATTGAGGCTTGGGATAAGAGATGCTGAATCAGTTGCACTTTATTTTCATAGGATGCAACAACAAAATTTGAACTTCTATTATGCAATTGACCTCGATGAAGATGGTTTCATGTGAAACTTGTTTTGGGCGGATGCAAAGAGTAGGGAAACTTATAAAGCATTTGGGGATGTGGTTTCATTTGACACAACTTATATGACAAACAAATATGATATGCCATTTGCTCCGTTTGTAGGAGTTAATCACCATGGGTAATCAATTTTGCTTGGTTGTGGGCTATTTTCTAATGAGAACACTGAAAAATTTGTGTGGCTATTCAGAGAATGGTTAAGTTGCATGTCTGACGTTCCTCCAAAAGCTATAATAACAGACCAGTGCAAAGCTATGCAAAATGCCATTGAAGTTGTCTTTCCAGAAGCTCGACATCGTTGGTGCTTATGGCATATCATGAAGAAAATTCCTGAGAAATTAAGAGGATATGCCTAATATGAATCCATCAAGCTTGCTTTGCAAAATGCAGTTTATGACTGTTTTACAAAACATGAATTTGATGAAGAATGGCAAGCGATGATTGCAAAGTTCAAGCTAGATGATAATGATTGGTTGGGGGTATTATACAGTGAGCGACACAAGTGGATTCCTGCGTATGTGAAGGATGTTTTTTGGGCTGGCATGTCAACTACACAACGAAGTGAGAGCATGAATGCATTTTTTGATGGATATGTGAACTCAAAGACAACTTTAAAGCAATTTGTTGAACAGTATGATAATGCCTTGAGAAGTAACGTTGAGAAAGAGATGAAAGAAGACTTGAAATCTCGAAACAAATTGTATGATTTCTTAACGGTATATGAGTTTGAGAAGCAATTTCATGCAGCCTACACGAATGCAAAATTTAAAGAAGTGCAAGTAGAATTGAAACGACTATTGTATTGTCGTGCGAATCTTGTCAAAGAGGAGGGAGCAATTTGTACTTATCATGTGAAGGAGGCTGTTCTTGTGGGTGAGAAAATGAAGACTGTGGAATTTGTTGTGTACTTTAATGCAACTGAATGTGAATTGCATTGTATGTGTCAGTGGTTTGAGTTTAGGGGCATTATGTGTGCCCATGCAATTACTGCGCTACTTGAGAGGTGTATATATCAGGTGCCACATAAATACATTGTATCAAGATGGAGTAAAGATATCGAAAGAGGGTACACATACATTCCAACCACATACACTAAAGCTGGGGTTGTTCTTAATGCAAAGTTGCATGACAAATACCACAAGATATTGGATGAAATCATAGAAATTGCTGCCAACGATGATGGTAACACGAAGTGCTTGATCTTGGGTTGATAGAAATCAAGGATAGAGTAAGAAAAGATCAATCGGGTAGTGCGAGTTATGCACCACCTTCTACTAGTAATGTACCACCTTCTCATAGTTCGTTGAGAAGTCCTTCTGCACGTAGTACTACAAAAGCAAGCATGTCTCACAAGATGCTTAGTCCAATGGTTGCTTGTCGAAGAGGACGTCCATGTACCAAACGGAAGGTTAGCAAAGTGGATGCAATAGTGAATCAGTTGAAGGAAAGAATAAGTTTTTTGTTGTGTGTGACATGGAAATTGTTGAATGTATTTAAGATAAATTATTCACCTATCTGTCTCTGTCTTACTATAGGGACGCACGGTTCCTCAATGTAAGCCTCGGAAGTTAAATTTTCCTGGTACAAATGATATGCAATACAATACTTATCATGACCCGGTATGTATTTGAATTTTTATGTTGTTGGTTGTTTTTTATTTAAATGTCTTTTTATGTATAATGAAATTGTGTTGCTATGATCATAAGGTGACGCAAACTGCATCTTACTATTTTCCTTGCATGGTGTGGACGTCCCCGAACGTCCCGGGAGGGAAATCCCGATTTGTTCGTTTGGGCTCACTACGGTTCAGGACTCAATGTCACGGTCCTGTATGTAATCTCACAGAGTGCAATGCAAGACCGATGAATCATCAAAGAGTCCAAATCTGGCAAATCGTTTTTGGAAAACAGATTTTTTGTAAAGAAGTGCCAAACATGGACTACTTTTCCAGATATAGAGTCGCCACCTAAATATTTATTTTGGGGGAATTTAGGAAACCTTGACTCATTGCCTAAGGCCACGTGTCTGTTATCACCAAAGTTGTCTCGGCTCGGGAACTTGGGTACGATTGGGGAAGGTCATTTCGTGAGCACCCCCACTCGCCCGATCAAAGATCGGCCTCTACTAACCATGATATCTAGTTTTGAAAACATTATGCGTTCTTATTCCGGTTATTAGCCTAGATTTACTATGTGATGCGCACAACATACAAGTATAGGCTGGATCGCCTGAATTGGAACAAAACATTTCATGTTTGTTTTTTAAAGTGGTTTGCTACTCGCAAGTAGGCTAAAAATACAAATTTTGCCACCCTCGAGTAGGCTTAGAAAAGATGGTTTTGTCACTATCTAGTGGGCTTAAAACTCACAGTCAATGCATTGTTCCAATTTAGATAACCCAGCCTTCACCCACAGGCATTCAGGCAGTTATAACACATAAGCACGTAGCCTCATGGTAAGCATGCTATCATGGCAGACACTCACACGCATGCAAGGATGCTAAAGCATAAAAGCTTACCTAGTACTCCAAGCCAAAATAGAAACTAGTTAGTAATCAAATGCAAGATCCTAGTTCATGTTAGCAATGGCTAATGAAACGCATACAGAATGCAATTAGGACAGGCTCGGCTAACCTAAAGATGGCATATGAAATGCAACAGATAACATGTATTCAACTTGGAATTGAAATACCATCCAGTTAGTATGATGCGCCAAGCCCGGTGCATGTAATACAGATGAATGGATGTACGCATGCATAGCATAAGGTATGCTAAATTAAATATGACCTAATACTAACCATCAAAAGCAGGAAGTAAAAGGGAGAAAGAAGTGGGGGTTGGAAGACATACACACACTCACACACACTTATTACACAATTGCCCTCGCTCGGAGGGTCCAAAAGAATAATACAGACCGCATAACGAACCAACTATCCTAGCTAATTAATTATTACAAAACTCCTAATTAATTAACAAATTAGTTACAAAAAAATAGCCTAAATATGAAACTAAAAGAAACCGCCACAGCTCTGCCTCGGAATGCGTAGATGATGCATGCTCGATTTGCCTTGCCCGGAAGCCCGCTACCATGCCATTGTTGCCTCTGTTTACACTGTCCTATACCTCTGAGGACTGTGAAAACCCTGGAGATGCCTCTGAATTGCTTCCTGAGCATTGTGAGTTGCCACCGACCAAGGCATAAGATCACCGGCCATTGATAAATGGTTATCGACCAATTGTTGAGCCATCGGCTAATTATTTTTGGTCGGTCAGCACTGTAGGTAGCCGGTCGGCCAAATATTCCTGCAGAATCCTATTTTGACAACAGCAGAGGACAAACAAGGCATGGCATGGAATTTTCAAGCAAATGTGTGCATGTCCACTCTCCCTATCATGTTATGGACTCAAGGGGGTTTGGACCTCAGTACTCGGGCCACCAATCACGCATTTTGATGCATGATGGCCAAAAGTACCAAGCTTGCAAGTCAATGTAAATGAATGCAACAAAAACACATGTGTAATACCCATGTTCCGTAATATGTTAATTGGTTCTTAATATGAGTATGATTATGTGTTTAATATGATTTTGTGTGCCATTATGTGGTCTTGGATTTCTATCTGTTCACCGTAGGAATATCTGTTTGATTTATCTGCTTTGGAAATTTAATTGGAGGCCTTATCGGCCACAGAACCCGAAATTGATTACGTCATTGGGATTGGCATAATTTTTGGAACCTATGGTGAAATTTAATTGAAAATTGATTCGGGTCAGATTAAATCGATTAAATCGGTAAATTAGAGCCCAATTATCTTATTAACATTATATTGGCCTTAGTGGGTTTTGTTGTGAAGTCACTACACTCTCTATCCTCTCTTTTTCACTTCATTTTGGCTGAATTTGAGACTCAAAAATAGAGAGAACCGGCTATAGAGAGAGAGCAGGAGAGAATTGTGTGATTTTTGGCTCAAGCTTGGGAATTGGAAGATTAAGCTCAAGATTTGGCTAGAACTTGAGTGTTTAAGGCTCCTAGGTGAGTAATTAACCCTTGAATCATGGGTTTTTGTTTTCTATTTGTAAATTTAGAGCTGAATAAGAATAAAGAACACGAATTTAATTGAGTACGATGAAATTGAATTGGTTTTGTTGAATTGAAGGCTAAATTGTGCATGCATGTAAGAAATTGTCTTAAATTTGCATGTTTGAGCTTGAAATACATGATTCATGTAGAGTTTTGGTTAAAGCTCATGATGTAATCACCAATTGTATTATCTAAGTTGAGAATCATCACATGCATGTAAAAATTATAAGGTTGAATGCATGACATTGTTATGTTGATAATGAGTTTGGTGGAAAATGAGCCATGCATGCCTTTGATTCATGAGATTAAGCTCCATGTTGATGTATTCTAGTGTTAGTACAAATATATGTGAGATTGCCCAGCCTTCACCCACAGGCATTCAGGCAGTTATAACACATAAGCACGTAGCCTTTTCTAATTAATGATTTTTAAAAAAAAATTTAATCAAGATTGTGGTTGGTTCTAGTCACTGAAAACACTTATTTTGTAGAAAGTGAGAGTAAAATTGCGTACATACTTATCTTGCTTCCCAAAACGACCCTTTGAAAGGCTGCCTTTTATAAATACTATCGATAGCAACCCCCCAGAAAAGTAAAATAGACTTTTTGAAGTCCCAATGCCAGGGCAAGCTTAAAAATTAGTCTGCCTCTTGCTGCATTCAATTTTCCTCTGTCATACACAGTAAAAATATAAAACCAAGCGCATTCTTATCAGCGATTCAGGCTGCAACAGGGCTTTTTCTAATTTGTTTGGCTATTGGGAAAGTTATGGAATACAAATCACCATCAATCGCACAAAGATACGAATCAAATTGTCATTACCGATGCACCATAGTACCAATGATCTGCATTTTCAGCAAAGCGTTGCACTTTATCCACAAAGTATCGAGTTACATAATTCCACTATGATGTAACAGTAGTGGTATGGCAAGTTTAGACCAAAGGCATTGACAATTTGAACGTCATTCTTGTTTGCTGGCTTTTTCTTTATATTAAAACAAATTGAAGCCTAAAGAATTAGTCTTAGCGAGAAGCATCCAAACGATTAATTGTTTGCTACCTAAAATTATAGTAACCCTCGAACATCCTATCTAATGGCAAATAAAAATATATTAAAACAAAAATAAAATTATAGGCCCTTGCTTTCGCAACACTGTTCATCTATTTATTTTAGTTTTACATTGGATCCGACACTCATATCAAAACACAGATACTAGCAGTTAGCTGGCAAATGCACCAGATATCAATGTAAAATCAAAGCACAACACCTTACAAGCAGAGTCAAAAACGTAGAACAAGCTGGGTTGGGTTGTAGCGATTCATCCCAAATAAGCGCTTTTACCATGGAGCTAATCCATGCAGGTTTTTCTCGTCGGTTCATGGGCTGACGAAGAATCGGGAAATAACTCTATCACAATATGTTTGTAGTAACATATTGTCCCATCTTTTCCAATACAGCAACTGGCCGCAACACACCACCAAATTGCTATGATAAATCCCAACGTGGCACGTTATATACGCGGCAGTTAGATTTGAGGACTGATCAAGAGTTTGCATGGCCTATCAAACAATGAGCTTGGGTGCTGCTCAGTTTCAATCTGCAACTAACATTCAAGTGGAGTTCCACATAATCCCAGGGTTTCCTTCAAAAGAAGTTGGTTGACCCAAAATGTTTGAAGATTGAGAGCCTGTTTGGGATCAATTCCAACGCGGTGGTTTATGTGGATAGGTTTTTTTTCAAGGAAAAAATAAGAAAGAATGTAAGACTTGGCAAAGCTGTTGGCGGGATGTTCCTGTTTAGGCCCTGTTTCCATGCTAGATCTAAATGATCCAAGCGGTGGTGCGAATATTGTCGCCAATTGATGATGGATAAAGGGGCATTGTGGAATAGGTTGAGAAAAAACAAGAATAAGGGGTTTAGATCCCTCTGGCTATTCTGGTTTTCCCCTTGGGAAACTGTGCTATGAGAATAATCATATGGAAAGTAAAGATAGGTTTAAGATTGCTTCCACTAACGTTCATCTTGCTTGCCCCTTTGTTGGTAATTGTGTCACTGGTATCCTGATAGTAAAAAGTGATTTGAGGTTCAGGTAGAAATCAAAAGCAGTTGATTGAGTTTATGATTGTGCATAAAC